GAGAGAGAGAGAGAGAGAGAGAGAGAGAGAGAGAGAGAGAGAGAGAGAGAGAGAATTCCTCCGGGATCACTCCACATTTGCTGTGCTGTGGCTTAGGGATGAGACAGGAACAAACCAGGAAGAAAAAGTGAAGAACTCATACTTATGTAACAAAAAATAAAATAAAATAAAACTCCACTGTGAAAGTGCTTGTGGAGAATTTGTAAAAAGAATCATTTTGTGTGTGTGTGTGTGCCCGTATGTGTGGTACAGTCATGACTCAGGAGGGGAGTGTGGTTTTGGGGTCATGAGGTCAAAGGTTAAGAACAGCATGTTGACTGCACCTTTGCTGGTCCTCAGCAGATGTGTCCTGTCATGTCCTGGCTGCTCTGCCTGTGCCTCTGGCTCAGTCTGACGGCCATCCAGCTGTGCCAGGCCACCTTCTACGACACCATCCAACAGCGTCCTGGGACGAGGCCGGGCCGAACCACAGTGCACATGATCGGTGAGTCCCTCAGCTGCTCTGATGGCTGGAAGAAATTCACACAAAAGGCACACGCAAAAACAACAACAGGCACCCTGTGTCATCTTTTCTGTTGCAGCCACTGCCTCTCATTAATTATCTTCAGCAGTTAACAAATAATTCAGCGGCAACGTTTTACAGGGACGGTTTTATTATTAAGATTTCCAGCAGATAGTTTGAGAATTCCTATTCATGAGATCGCACCGACAGACAATGAATGCTCCTGCGCTCTCCTTCTTGAGCTATCACAGTTGATATTCATGCTAGACTGCTCTCTCTCAATTTGATCTGGGCGATTTTGTTCCCCGAGAAATTGCATTGAATAGAATATGACCGAAGCATTGCGAGCAAACTTTTGTTTTCATTAGGCGGATGTGAGCCTCGGTTATGGTAAATAATTATGATCTCAGGATTCAACAGAGGAGAGGAAGCTGAGTTGCTGTCAGAACTTCAAAGGGAGACAAAGCTGCATGTGTGTGTGTGTGTGTGTGTGTGTGTGTGCAGGTCCTCACTGTTCTTTCACACCTCAAGCATATCAGCAAGAGGTCTTTTCAATCCACTCAATATTGTGAGTCTGAAGACTTCCTGCTCCAACACACTTATTTTATAAGGCGCACACATGTGTATTGAAGAGGAAATGAAATAATGTAGCAGAAAATGCAACTCACAAGTAGGTTATGTACGCAAAAATGGTCTCATAAGCAAAATAAATTAATGTTTCAAATGAGAATTCAGGTAGATCTTTAGAGAAATCGGGCTCAAGGCAAAACAATCTGAATCCTTCAGGAGTGAAAGTGTAAAAGCCGTGTCATTCTATTTACCATAGTCCTCACTCCTGGATAAATGAGATGCCAGTTTTATGAGAGGAGGATGGGAAGCCTGTCTGGATTGATTCTGACGCCGGGACATTTGTTCTGCGCTGTGTGTTGTGTGCCTGGTGGATTGGTGGGAGGATTGGGGTTGACGGGTCGTGAATTGGTGGCAAGGAGGCCATTGGTTGCAGACCATTGGGCCAATCATCAAAGGCAGCAAAATGCCACAAGTTCATGGTGACGGGTATTACCAGAGGAAATCAAGATTACAGAGGGCGAGAGATCAGTCGTGTCCTTGCCAATAGAAATTTAGATCCACAGGGAGATTTATCAGAACCGTTGCCGTGTCAGTTTTGAGGGGTTGTTGAGGTGTGAAATCTATTTAACACACACAAGACACAAACACAAAAATTGTAGCTAAGCAAACTAAGATAGATATTTGTATTTTTTTTTGCATTATATGTATTTTTATGACATTTTACAGCCACCTGTTCCAGTCAAACAGACATACTGGAAAGAAAGTGTGTCTAGAAGTCCATTAGCTAGATGACCCTAGAGTAGGTGCTTGTGTATGCTCAGTGATTCGGACAAGGTGCCCTGCTTTTCACCCCGCAGCCTTGCTTACAGATTGCCGCCTGCCACTCTCTCTCAGATAAGCTCAGGGCTGTTCTCTGAATTCTTGCTGCAGACAGCGTTGCTCTCTGCGGTATGATTCATAAGGTGCTGTATTTATTTGGTGCAAAGAGCGTGAACGGTGCTCAAAAGAGAACAGATTGTGTGTGTCGAGCATTCACAAAGTGGGCAGAGATGTTGCTTTTGGGGTCGTGCATTTCTCGACCCTCGAACAAGTGCAGAGGAAGCCACAGATGGTCAATTTTCCGTGTCTAAAATATTGACTTACAAACAACAACAGGGGGAAGAAAAACAGCCTCCTACATGCAGTGATTTCCAAAACTGAGATTTTTGCACTTTAAATCTAAAAATGCGATATGCAGGAATGACAAATCATACTTTATTTGGTTAAAAAAGCACACGCCTCAGTGGTAAAAGAACCACAGTGTTTTGAATGTGTTGAGCAGAGGTGTGTTTCATGCAGAAAAAGCAGCACTATTAGTGATGCAGGGCATCATGTGGAGGTGTTGGCAGAAAGGACRGTAAACAATAGTGGCTGCCTGAGGTGGTCCTTCATGAACTCACCAACAGTTGGCTTTGTGGGGTCAAAATGTCCAGAACCGAATGGTCAATGACTTTCATCTAAGTGCAGAAAACCTTCTGTTTTGTGGTTGTTGTGAAACCTTATAGCTTTGAGTGAACATGTTTTAAAAAGACGTATGCAGAGCAGCAGGCCTGAGGACATGAACCCACAACTCAGCTGTAAGTGTGCTTTGTTTTCAGATTGAAGTCATAAATACTTTAGTTTGTCCTGTCATTGTTGGTGTCTTCCTCCATTCTTCCTCTCGCCTTCAACCAGAATTATTACTCATCATCACACTTTGTGTTATTTGGATAATTCAGATCAAATGAAGCTGGGTTCTGTTGAAAGGTTAGAAATCATAAATATCTTACGTTATAGTGTTATGAATAGCATTAGTGTGTAGAAACAGTGGCTAATGGCCGGTCCAGTAAAGGTATTTACAGGAATTTGAACGTCTGGAGGCGATTCAGGGTACCTTKTTGCAGAAAAAAGAAATACAAGAACTATTTTTTGCCATTTTCAATCAAAATCCTAGATCAGAGGAGGAAAAAAATGAAATCATCATTGCAGATTACATTTTAGCTTTCTTTCTTTTAATCATTATGATAATTGTCGATGATGTTGTGATGTGTGTTGTTTTTATGGGGGGCATCAAACAGACTATGTAAACAAAATTTCCATTTTTGTATGGACAATTAAGTTTTTATCTTATCTATAGATAGCTGCAGTTTTAAAACTCATCTGAAAAACCATATTCATGGATAATTCAAATGCTCTCGATATGTTGTTTGTTTATCCAGAGCCTGCAYTTTGTATTCCAGTAAAAATACCATGATATTTGTGCAGAAAGTGCTCCAGGCTGCATCAAAAGTGTCACACCTGATTCAGATGATCACAGTTCAACAAAAGCTTGTTAATCAGTTGTCAGTTGAAATCAGCTGTGTTGAAGCAGGGAAACATTTAAAGCATGCAGGGCAGTGTGCCTTGAGGACCAGGGTTTAAAAACACTGCCATAGATAAACATTGTCTGTACAAAATAAAAACCATTTCACTGAAGTTATGCAAAACGTGTATATTTATTTTTAATATTTTGTCTCAAACAATAGTTTGGATCATGCTCTCCCTGAGAAAATCCAGTTTGATGATGTCATCAATTGCGCACGGGTGAATGTCTCTAGACCACAAGCATTTATTAACACGTTTTGGTCAAATCCGGTCGTTAATTTATTGGGCTTTTGTTATCAGAAGAAAAACAGAAACCGATATATAGAGAGTTTACATTTTTAGGCTAATATCAGACCGATAATATCTGTAGGCCGATAATATCAGACATCCCTAACCAATAGCAATAGCAGTAATGGTGCAATTATTGTGCTTTATGCCATGACATGTTTCTTTGTGTCTCCTTATGGTTACTCCTCACTTTCTGTTTTTGAGCTCATTGTGTTAGTCTGTATTCCTGGATCCATATCATCAACAAAACCCAATTTAAATGAGTTGTCAACATCGTCAAAATAAATCTTTATTTTCCAAACTGAGATATCTACAGTAGGTAAGATATTAAATATTCATATACTTATCACAAATTCAAACTTAAAAACATCTGATCTGTTGCGTTAGACTTTAATGTTCAACAAGTTAGATTTAGGAGTAATTAATAATACTTGCAACAAACTATCTAGCAAAAAAACTGCATCTCGTAAACAAAGCTGTCAAGGAGAACTGATTAATTTTGGCCTGTAGAGACTTGTAGATTTTAATCTGTGAATTCCTTCTTGGAAAAACTGAAACAGTGTTTATTATTTTATTTCTGCATAAATTTGCTTCGCCTCTTTATGTTTTTTGCTTCGTCTTCATCTTTTTCTTGCTCCATTGCCTGCTCTATATGATCTTCCATTTCTGCATGTATTTTTAACAGCTGATTTCTCTTTTTCTTCTACTTTATTGCTCTCAAACAGTTTTTTTTTCTCTTCTGCTCATTTTTGCACAGCGACATGGATGCTCTTCTGTGCGAAAGAAGTTGCTCTACTGAGCAAAAATAGACATGAGTTTACCAGTAGAAATAAACACCAGCTGAAACATATGTTTTAGATATTTTTTATAAAGATTGTAGTTGTTTTTTTTCCACACTGTAGTGTGAAAAAAACAACAACTAAAACCTACATTTTATTTAGAAACTGAGAAAATGTCAGCAAAAATAACGTTATCACTGATGAAATGTGCAGTTTTCCTATAGGTTCCTTTTTCCCCAGAGAGTAAATGGCACACAAAATCCTCTATGTGCTTCTTTCTGGAGATTTAGCGAGGACTACAGATCCAGGGTTTTTTCTTTCCTTTTGTCCTCCAACAAAAGAGCCTCTCGCTGCTAAAGCTTCCACTGAAACAAACATGAGAAATGGATTTTCAGCTGTCACAAACAAAGCTTGTATCCTCAACACACTGTTTTAGACACTGACAATTTAATAGCCTTATATAATGCATCCTGGAGGCGCATTATTTTGACACACATCTCCCTCCACCCCTCCCCTGGACCTCCTCTCAGCCGTGCTCACACTTATGTCATCGCTGCTGTGCTGCAGCGCCGATGGGAGGTGGCGTTCAGCCTCAGCCCCAAGGCCTCTGCACAGCTGGAGCTTGAACAAGCCCACTCTGTCCTGATGTTCCTACACATGTTACCGGGATGCTCTGAAACCTTTGGCAACTTTAAAAAAAGAAAAAAGAAAAGCTGAAACTTTTTCCTACTTTAAAACAGCAGAGCTTCTTTTGCCTTTATTATCGCATTTTAGCAGCAATCGAGTATTCATAGAATTTTCCTGGTTAGCCCCTAAAAAAACATCCTTTCACTTGAATTCACCGAGAGCCAATCAGCAGCTTAATTATTACTGTATGCTCAGAGCTACAAATAGGTTTTACACATTCTAGTATTTCCAGATTATTCCCCTCTTTCAAGTCATAAATTATTCATAAGAAAGATT